TATATATGGGTATATATAAATATAGATACATATAGATACATATAGATAAATATATACCATATGTATATACGTATATACGTATAAATATATATGTATTTATGTATATACTTGTAGATCTTTCTAATTTATATGTTTTTTCTTCTTCATCGGACAGCGTTAATGAAACATGGTGAAGGCACACGCCAACTCGCGCTGCTGCCTATGTTCCACATCTATGGGTTTCTGATGTGCATCAATGTTGGACTAAGCAAAGGATGGACCATGACTGTCCTCAATGGCTTTGTACCGGACTCCTTCCTGGGCACTATCCAAGACCACAAGATACAGATTATTCATCTGGTGCCCCCAATTTTCATATTTTTGGGTAAGTTTTGACAATCAATTTGGGTTTGGGTTTATTACCGGAATATCGGAATATAGCTCGCGGGCTTGAATTGTTGTAGTACATAAGAATGCTGCTTTGAGCCGGGAATGTTGGGACACCTGATGGCATTTAACTCGGTTGCGACAAGTTTTGAGCGATATACGTGTATGGTATGTATATTCTCCGGTTCTTTTACTTCAATTCCGTGGCAACGTTCTGTGTGGCTGTGCATGTCCAATGAAAAGGCTAACGTCTTTGGTGTACGATGTGTTTGTGAGCAGATCGAGTGAATCTCCCATTCAAACTCAGGCGTCCAACGCAACGGATTGACCACAGATGGGGGCACATCCCACATTATTAGATGCGTAGATGTGTTTATCAGTATCCACTCATGGGTTTTAGGGTTTAGGCACATGTATGTGCACATACAGTTACCACCTTACGCCCGGTGTTTAGGCGGACGTAACTGTTCGGTTTCCCACGTGATGTGAGAAACGTCCTCTAGGTGCAAGAAATGATCCAGTTAACTTAGCCTGTGGGGTACGAAGGACAGGTGACAGGCCGTACGGCTACATACCTCAGACCTGTAATTTTAAGTTTATATCAGTGTCTCCATAGCGAAATCAGGAATTTACATCCGACCAGCCCCGCATTTGTATTTACCATTTGGCTCATGTTCAACTGCTTTGCACCCACACTCATTCAGCGAAACATCCCAAGGTGGATGAGTACGACCTTTCATCGTTGGAGAATCTGTTCTCCGGTGCCGCTCCGCTAATGTAAGTCCCGCGGGTTTGTTCTGTGACGGTTTTAAATGTGTCGTGCTACTATGGTACCCCAACGTTGTAGTTAATTTCTCTGACAGACTAATACTTATCACGTACTATTTCCAACTACACGCTTTATTCCATCAGGAAAGATGTCACGATGCAAGTGCAGGGTCGTCTACCAAGCATGAAACCCGTCAGGCAACTGTACGGCATGACCGAGTTGGTAGGTACAAACTGTGCCACAGAACGGGAGAATGGTTGACCATAGTCAGTGGCGTGTGTGAGTAGCTTGGTATAGAAGTTGGTATATTTCTGTGTAAGAACCAGGACAGACAATTGTATCAATAGGTACACAATTTGATTGGCTAAAACTATCAGAGGCACGGAAACAGAGTTGCTTTTCAACGTCGGGTTGTGTCTTTGGGTCTGTAGCCATAGTGTAGGTACGGAAGGTAGGTATACTACTTCACAATAGAGTTTTCCACGGTGGGATTGTACTGGAGATGGCAACCGATGCTCTGACACATGTAACACGTATGCTATGTGCTGTTAACTACCTACTCAGAGTCCCGTGGCGTTGGGTGACCTCGAAGACCCGACCATCGGCAGCTGTGGTGTTTTAATACCGAACTGTGAGATGAAGTTCCTGTGCGTGCACACACAGGCTGAGGTGGCCCCTGGAGAAGAGGGCGAGGTGTGTGTGCGAGGCCCCAATGTCATGAAAGAGTACTACAAACGCCCCGAAGAGACCGATGCGTCCTTCACAGACGACGGCTTTTTGCGCACTGGCGATGTGGGTATGTTTGTTGTGGATGTATATACATTTATGAGCCTGTTTGTCTATGGGTCAAAATCTATATATTATGTGTGAGAATGTATATAGATGTATGTATGCACGTTTTTATATTTATGCGCGTATGGAAGTTTGCATTTTGCGTCTATTTGTCGGGTGTGCGTAGCTGAAATTATAAATTCATAAAAATGTTGTCCATACATGTATGTGCAAGTACTTTCGTTGAACCCGCAGAACACACCTTATCCAAACAGCGTACAGTTATCGCAATTGCATATACACACGCATCACACATACGCACACATACATCACGTGCTAATTTGCAAGGGCCAAGCTCAACGCCGCTATCGCGGGCTGGTGGGTGTGGCGGGTTGCTGTATCGACATGTGCGCTTCATGACAAGCGTCTTTCCACCTAAATGTTAACTCGATGTGACAGGTTATATGGACAAGAACGGGCGAGTCTTTATTGTGGACCGCATGAAGGAGCTCATCAAGGTGTGGCATACATGTTTAACTGCAAATTTCTGAGTTTTAAAATGCCGAATGTCAATGAAAATAGTTCGAATTTGTACTGAGTATTTGCCCATGCACGTAGGGTATAGGGATATAGACCGGTTTATTATATATATACCCACCAACAGAAATAGAATCGACGGCAACTTAATCACAACCGATTGTCGCACTATGCATGCATGTGCGTATCAATTTTTTTTTGCATGTTTGCATGGATACGTACTTCTACTGTGTGGTTCACATTGATTTGTCCATATACCATGCATATATGTACGTATCCATTTTTTTTTGCATGCATACATACTTCTATTGTGTAGTTCATACAGATTTGTATACAATCCATGTTGATATCAGCATCCCCCCTATATATGCTGCCCACAGACGTAGATATGTTTGTGTTTATTCGTATCCACAGAGCCGATATGCTGTAGGTTGAAGTTGCAAATTAGTACCGTTTCAGCTTGAGAATAGATTGTCTAGCCCACCAAACACAGTTACACGCCATACTGAAGTTCGCCATATACTATGCCCGGAGTGCCGCTTCCTATATTACGTATACGACTTGGATATGGCCAGCGTCCACCTTCGCACACTGGGCTTCAGATGGCCCCAGATTAGTCGGGATATACACTCATGTAACGCTTAGTCTCCATTCCTTTCATTTTCTGCCTGAATCCTCACCACATTCGTCTGTCCATACTTTACGTCGTACTAGAATCTCACTCTCGCTTGTGTTGTATCTGTGTACACGTTTGCCTACAGGTGAAAGGGTTTCAGGTCGCCCCGACTGAACTAGAAGATCTTCTCCTGAGCCATGCTAGTGTGGACGACTCGGCTGTGATAGCACGCCCGGATGGTGAGTGTTTGTCGATGGTGTAAGTTCAATGGGTTTCAGAGTTATTGCAGATTGTACTTTGTTGTTGGTGCTGAATGATGAATGAGTGTCTCACAGTAGTGATATTGTGCAAACGGTGGTAGGTATCATTCCAAGCGATATATAATAGAGGCTGGGACTAGAATACATAATAAGACACCAGGTAGTGACTACGTGTTAATAGAATTAAGTTATATAAGCATGCGCAAGGATGAGTGTACCCAAATACATAAACATGAATATTATTTTAATTGTAAAGGACTGGAATCATAAATTTTACTAATGCGCTTCACGATGATAACGGCAGATGCCAGATTTGACAAAAATTCCGACCCGTGTATGCGTGTAAACAATATATATATATATATATATATATATATAATATATACACATTATATTATATATTATATGTATTTATATTTAAGAAATAGGGTAAATTAATGTTGTCGTGTTTCGCGGTGAAATTGTGAGACTCATATACACATGACGTTTGCATCAAAATCTGTTTCAAGAATTTGCCGGAGAGCTGCCCAAGGCCTACGTCGTACTGAAGAAGGGCCACAGTATCACAGAGGAAGATATGCGCGAGTGGGTAAATTCATCAGTGTCATCACACAAGAAACTTGTTGAAGTCGAGTTCATCGCACAAATACCAAAGAATCCATCAGGTAAGCAGCGCGATAGAACAGATTTTATAGGTTTCCTTGGTTGGATCCGCAGCTGTTTGGCCACTGTATAGTCGTCAGTATTATCTAATTGATCAAAATAGAAATATATAGCAAGTCTTTGTGAACAAATGGGTGCGAGTCCTGATCATATTTTTGGCACAACCGGTTTGACTTCATTCTAAATGGTCAGAGTTGGTAAATTATCAAAATGGGGTTGAATATTAATACATTTTAGGACTTTCGAAATGGGTGTTATATCGACATGTAAACTATCCCAAATTGTGTCTGAGTCACGTATGGTAAAGATAATCGATCTCAATACCAGTATACATTGGTCGCGGTTGTTTACCGCAATTCCAGTCAACTAGCAACAAGTATAGCCTGTCATATTAAAGCTATCATGTATTAGCTTTCCAATATAATTCTCTAGCGTATACTTTACAATCAACATACAGTAGTTGGGTGTCACACGTATCTCTTGATCGGAGCACTTGGCACGGGTGATTGTACATCCATACTATACCAAGAGTAACTAACATACTACACCAACCTGACCGGATCCATTTCAATCTATTCTCTATATAGATTTTGACGCTTTTTGAGGTTTAGAACGATTACAATGTATTTACATTATATTTAAATTCATATCGATGTTCTTGGCAAAAACATAAAAATTGAACAGGAAAAATTCTGCGTCGGGTATTACGGGATATGGAGAAAGAAAAACTCAATTTGTGAACGTCGGCGACTCGGTGGCACGGTGCCCACAATGACCCGAATAATCTTCACGGCCTCACGTGCCATACAGTAACAGAAGTATTCAAGATTTCCATGGAACAAAAATAAATATATAAAACGTTGCATTGTCGTTTTAAATTAAAAAAAAAGAAGTGAGGAACCTCTGGTCCGAATCTTCCACTTTCGATACTACTCTTTTTAAAATAAAAACAGCACGCCTTGTGATCAAGGAATGTACTCAATTGCCGATAGAAATGCTTTATCAGCTCGACTGGTCGAATAAGTAAATATAAACATTCTTTCATAGCTTGCCCTAAAACCTAAACGGAGAATTTATGTCACTACAATACTTATGTTTTATAGAATCCTAAAACTTGTTTAACATATTTTTAATTATGGTATGTAGTAGAGTGTAGACTTTGTAGTATTTACATACTATTTTTCACGATTTATTTATGTATTTATTATACTATGCAGAGATATCAAACAAAGATTTGATTGATTTGTCATCAATTTGTTCACAGTCATTTGTCCAGGGAATCATAGCCTAAAATAGAAAAAGGAATTTGGGGGTTTTTATAAAAAACAAAATGTATTATGTTTTATTAATTTGAATATTTATTTTACTATATTTATGATAGCCTCCTTGTGTATTTTAAAGGCTACATATGAAAACTATAATTTTGATTTCGACGATTATATATATTATTTTGTCACAAACAAACCAAAAAACAAAACAAAACAAAATGAACAAAAAAACAACAACAAAAATATTTGGCTCTTTTTGAGTTTTGAGTCTTGTATGTAAATACGTAAATAGTACATATTTTAGACTATTTTAGTTCGTCGTTTTTAACTAAAACAGAAGGAGATAAGAATTTATATTTTTAAATTGGAGAAAGAGAGTATTTAAAAAAATACTACTTGATATTAAAATACGTAGAAAATATATTTTACCATTTTCTAAAACAAAGTCAATGGCGAGCCTCGGCCTCGGGACCCTCGGCTATGGAAGTTTGGGCACAATTTTCTATATAGAATTTGTTTAAAAATAAATTAGGAACAAAGTCCCAAGGGCCAAGGCCCAAGGGCCAAGGCCCTCATCAGTCGTAATAGAAGTTGAACGTAAATGCATGTTTATTCAATTTTAAAACGTTATAGCGGTTATAGCGTTGCCAGAAGAGCCTATCTAATATTTTCTTAAGGTCTGGATTATATGATGAAATAGGTACAATCCTATATTTACAGACCTGAATGGTGCACCTTGAAACGAAAAAAGGACCGCATACGGAATAAAAGTAGAACGTAAACGTATAAACTTTCGATTTTAAAAGTTTTAACGGAAAATTGTTTGAAGTTAGCTCGTCAGTTGGACTCGGGACTCGGCAATCGGACTCGCCAGTCGCCACTCACTCGCGCGAGCAGTCGTCAACTCGTAACTCGTTAGTCGTCACTCGTTAGTCGTCACTCATCGTGCCTCTCAGAGTTGCCGACTTCCCCCTTTTGGGCATGGTGCCATTGTTGTAAATATGAAGAACTATTTATTTCTATACTAAAATGGTTGTAAAAAAAAACCAAACTCGAAAAGATTCTAGATTTCACTGTTTGTTTTTAAAACAAATAGAAAAAGTTATTCAGGGTTTAGGGTTTAGTGGTAATTTAGTTTTAAAAACAATAAACAAGTTCAGAAGTTCGAACTTGACGGTCACTGGGGAGTTAAGAGTCCAGAGTCCAGAGTCCAGACTCTTTCTCTCTACTCTAAAGAGTAGCGAGAATAAACAATATTCTGAAGATTTTAGTTTCGACACGGAATTTACTCAATTGAAAAAAATTGTATTTTTGTTTTCTAAGAAAACGAATTTGTTGACCAGAGTGACTGAGTACGGGACGATTTATAGAAATAAAAACTAAAAGCTTTCAGCGATAAAAAACTCACTGTTCTCGTGCCGATTTGGCTGTCTGGAAAAATAGAACGAAAGAACCTAGATTTGTTAAAAAAAAGAGTATTTTTACAAATGTGAAGTTGTTTTCTTCTGCTTTTGTTTAAAAATAAATAATACTCTTGTACATAGTAACTGAAATGTTTTGTTAAAAAAATAAGATTTTTTAATGTGACGTTGAATTGTCTTCTGCATATACTTGTTTGTTTTAAAACAAAATACTCTCGTACATATTTTATCATTTATTCACATAAAGACTCTTTGTAGGGTTTAAACTGGATGATTTAGAAATGCATTTCTATTTATAGATACTTCAAGAATTAGTGAAATAGCGACTGAGCCAGTCGCTCGAACAAAAAAATAGTCGGGTATTTACTGGTCAGTTTAAAAAAAGATGTAAAATCCGAAAAGAAGGAATGTTGAATTGAATGAATAAGTTCAAGCACTCCAAAAAAGAAAAAAAACTCTATAGTGTTTGTAGAAATTCAGATAGAGAATAGAAAGCGAGAGAGAGAGAAATACAGATTCAATAGACAGAGTTGTAAATAGTAATGAGTCTCGTGACGCACGTGAGACGTGAATCTCGTCTCTCACTGTCTCACTGAGTCACAGTCTCTCACACAGAGATATTTAAGATTTATCACCGAAAACGTAGCCGTATGTAGATTGTAGAGTCCTTATTTCTTTTAGGGTCAGTCCAGCCTCCGAATTTGAGTGAAGTTTCACTCAAATTTCACAAAAAAGAATTTCATTTCATTTTCACGCAGTGAAATATTCAGAAGGCTACGGAAATGTTTTGAAATATAATGAAATCTCACGAACTTCCTTTTTCAGTTTCACACAAGTTGCGAAGTTGGAAAGTATTGATAAAAATGAAATTGGTTGTCTTGGGATTTTTGGACTGTAGTTTAAAAAACAAAAAATATTTATGATTTTATTTTTCTACAAAAAGAATATAAAAGAATACTTCATTTCATTTCAATTCATTCTGAAAATCAGCGGTGGAACTGGTATCGCCGGAACATGCCTGTTTAGCGCCTCGGGCTGACGGGGTTATCCGATGTCGTAAACAATTTGAAAAAATCGAGCCGTAGACCTATACTACAGTTCCAAATTGTTAATTTCAAACAACATATTTTTTTCAAATACGACAATCTTTGGGTTTGAGAATGTAGCAGATACTACTCTGCTCTAGTCAGCTCTAGAGTGGGCAATAGTAGGGTACGTTGTGCATTTTGCATTTTATAATTTAGATTAGTTCCCTCTCCATTGTATTTTGGGGCTTGGGCGTTAAAAAAACCCTAAAACAAAGTAGCACATCCGCACAGCAAGAGTAGGTAGCCACGCACTGGACCTCTACTCTAAGGAGCTCAGGGTTACTGTCGCTTCGTTGAGTTCGTAGGGCGTCGGTTGAAAAAAGAGCAAAATATTCTCATGTTTTTAAAAAAGAAAAGAATATCCTTATTTTCTAAAAGTACGCTGTTCATTTGTACATTGTAAATACAAGATTGGCCTTCGAATTCCTTTTTTAAAACGGAATGTTTTTAAATTAAGTATTTGGGGGTCTGTTTTGTTAAAACAAAACGTAAGAGAAATATTATATCATTTAAAAAAATAAAACATACAGTACATATTTGTTTTTTTTTGATATGTTTAAAAACAAACAATTAGAATAAAAAGCATATTTAATGTTTTGTAAAAAATATATAAATTGGCGTATTTTTAAAAACCTCATATTTGGCGGTTCGGGTGTGCTATTTACCTTGCTTGTGGGTTAGAAATCTGAGAGAGGCCGAAAACCAAGGGCAGGGCGGGGGGGGACATTTTGTCCTGACCTATTTGTACCGACAAGGCTTCAAAATTCAGGTTTAAAAACCAACGATCCAATATATAAAAAAATACATATTTATGTACATATAAACATGTTTAACCAGTATTAATTTATTGTGATGACAATACATATAAATCACTAAATATGTAAATATATATAGAACAAAATAAACTATAGAACAAAATATACCAACAATCATAAAAGCCCTGATCAGTTTTTTAGTAAATATTTAATTTTCAGTCCGACTACAACAGGCCCATGAATTTACAAATGCACTTGAAGCCCCAAAATATAGTAAGTGAGGGCCGGGGTGGGGTGGTGGGGCGGTGAGGGCCTGGGCATTGGGGGGCTAAACCAAAGTAGCCCATTCGAAGTTCCTATGTAACCGCCTAATACGCCCTTAGCCTCCCGGGGCCCGGGCCCACCTCCCCCGCCTGATAATAAAATTAATATTTTAAAATACATAACAGCAAAAAAAAAAACTCAAAAACAAATAACAATAAGTACATACATACAGTATATTTTCTAAAAAGAAAAATGTCTTTTTTTAAGTGTTTTTGTTTCAAATCAATTTGTTATACAACTCTGGAGTTAGGAGTATAGAGTAAGAATCGAAACAATTTCGATAAATGGTTTTTTTTCCGGGTAATTTAAAAATTTGACAACGGTAAATATTTTATGCTCAAAGTGTATTTAAAAGTCAGAGGCAGACTCAAGTGTAAAATCATTTCAACACAGTCGTGAAGTGGCGCGCTGGAAATAGTATAAAAATACAACAAGTAGCCATGAAAGGGTTTTTAGCGGTGGCTTCAGCAGTGCTCCTTGTGAGCAATATCGACCAGGTTACTGCAAAACCTGGTCGGTCCATGATATATACACCTGTGGATGCAGCAGCTACAGACTTTACGCAAGTATTGGTCAGAATGGATAAGGGAAAAACATCCGATAACTTCGAAACTCGGTTGAGTGCTAAGATGGAAGTGCGCAAGAACAACCGCAAGAACAACGGAAAGAACAACGGAAATAACGGAAATAACGGAAATAACGGAAACGCGAGCAAAGGCGGCAATAGCAAAAACGCCAAAAGTGAAAAGGCAACCAAGACGAAATCGGTGAAGACGACGAAGGAGGTTGAAGTTGCAGCTGGAGTATTCCAAGTAATAGAAACTGAAGAGACTATTGAAGTTGAAGAGGGTGATCTCGACTATGTCAAAGTATACAAGACCAACACCGGCGACGAGGATATTGTTGGGTTTCAAGATTTGTCGGCAACTGACTTGGAAGACATTGTCAATGACGAAGATGTTGATTCTTGCGAGTTCGTACAGAGTTTCAAGGCTGATAAGGCAGTTGAAGCTTTCGATCGTCAGCCGAGACAGTCAGTCCCTTGGCATCTAGATAGAATCAATCAGCGCACAAATGATCTGGATGGCAATGTGGCAACCGAGTCGGGAGGTACAGGCGCCGGTGTGAATGTATATGTTGTTGATTCTGGTATAGACATCAGCCATCCTGCTTTTGGAGGCAGAGCATCGAATTTCTACAACGCATTCTCATGGGTTGGGGGCGATTATTCTGACGGTTATGGACACGGCACACATGTTGCTGGATTAGTGGGAGCCCAGGGCTACGGACTCGCTACGGGAGCATCGATAAAAAACGTGAAGGTTCTAGATGGCGATGGTGGGGGAAACACGCTAACCATATTAGGTGGTCTGAGCCGGGTACGAACTGAAGTTAGTCGCGACACCACTGGCGCGAAGCATATCGTAGTCATGAGCTTGTCTGGCCCCACTTCGGTCTTCATTGACGCGTTGATATATCGCTTGTATCAGTTGAATTGTCTGGTTGTCGTTGCAGCCGGAAACTACAATCAGGATGCTTGTCTGTACACGCCCTCCCGTAATCCAGCTGCTATGACCGTTGGTGCCACAAATAACGTGGACCAGCTGGCATCCTTCTCAAATTACGGCGGGTGCGTGGATATTCTCGCTCCGGGTACTCAGATAACCTCAACTATTCCCAATGGACAGACAGCCACATACGATGGGACATCTATGTCGGCACCATTAGTCGCGGGTGTAGCGGCTAGTTTGTGGAGCACTGTACCCTCGTTGACTGCGAGACAGGTTAGAAGAACTACGCAGATGGCCAGCTCAGTAGAGAGTATTTCCCTGAGTGTAGCCCAGCAGAGCACGCCCAACAATTTCATATTTTCGAATATAGTTATGTCGCAGGTGCCTCTCGCTCAATTTCAAAGCGGTGAGATAACATTGGAAACTCTCAAATTTTCTGCCGGTTTTGGCGCCGAATGGCCCTGGGCAACTAGTGAACTAGACTGGACGGATCAACAACGTCGTTATAGGTCTGGCAGCTACGAAGGTTCCCGGTTTTACTATGCCTCATTTTATGTTCCGGAAACCGATGCCGTGCTATCCTACTGTGGAATCGGAGCTTGCGAGATAACCGCTGATGGTCGTGGCAATGTGAATGGACAGGTTACTGAAGGGCCCATCGTTGGTGGAAACTGGGCATCTAGTGGATCAGGAGGCAGTATGACTATCTCGTCGTTCTTAGAAATGCTAGGCTTCACAGGTTCTACGATGTACGACTATGATATGCAGGCGAGTTTTGGAATAATTCAGGGACTCCTTCAAGGCGCGCTCTTCGGTGGTTACGAGGACGTTAGATTTCGGTATAGCGGTTAATAGCCTTCTAAAAAAGAGTGAATTTCATTTTACATACGGTCACTTGAATCGATGTATGAACGTCACCGCCTGGCCAAATGCTGCATACGTTTTTTTGTTGACTTCTACCAGTAAACATTTTATAAAAATGACTTTTATCTAAATAGCCTCTTACTAGTAGGGCCCTCCTCTCTCGGCTAGCCTTCAAAATTCTAGGCGGCTATGCTTTTTTAACCCTAAATTCAATAAATATATAAATTTGTATATGCAAATGTATTTTTTATATAAAAATATATGTGTTTTTTATTAAAAACCCATAAACAACACACTCTCACATATATACGTATATATATATGTATTTATATAGTATTATCCATACATGCCGGCATACATACATGTATCCTTGCATGCATACATGTATGCATGTATAATTTGAAATATATTTATATCTGTTAATACATAAAATATAATATATATATATATATATTTACTATAAATATATATATATATACATATAGAAATATATATATATATATATACATATATATAGAAATATAGAAATATAGAAATATAGAAATATATAAACTTACATGTATACATACATACAGACGTATACACGCTTGTACACATTAATACATACACACACACACGCATAAATACATATATATATATATATTTATATACATACATACATACATACATATGTACTTGGGTCACTTCTTATAGAGAGGGCTTCAGCGTAGCCCAAAACCACCAAGGTCGCAAACAAACTATTTACATTGATGTCTATTCCATTGGATAAACCGCAGAACGAGCATCTATCCTGCCAATAATAAATGGTCAATCTTAGGAACGATCTGTATATTTTTCAAACCCCATATGATGAGTTGATGACCATGAGTTGACGACCATGGGCATGAGGAACGTTATGAATTGTGAAAAGATCAAAAGAAACAAACATGCCTGTTGGAGAGTAGGCCTGTAGCCTGTAGGGCCTACCATGGGTCAGGAGCTCAATCAGTCTCTCTACTACTACTAGATGTGGTTGTATTAGAAAGTCAGGGCTGTCAGGTAATGGTGTGTTTTATTTAGTAGGCTATGGGTGGAGTGAGAATGAAACATGTTTATTTATTTTACACAGGTCGTTCCGGAATGGTATTGTTTTTTGTGTTATAAAAAATAATAGTATTCAACAAGAGCCTGAAAACAGTTTTCAAGTTAAAATAAATAGATAAATATATAAATCTGATATTTTTACTGCTGATAATGCGACTTTCGATTTTTATTCCACTTCGCTGTTTACATAAGTGTTGTTTTAAAAGCGAGCTGCATACAAACCTATACTTATCAAGGACATTACAATTCCGATTCAAGTCAACATAATCGCAAATATTCATTCCAGTATGAGTGGATGCACCAGCGTGCCTACCGTCGGCATTTTGCTGCAGCAGATGCGCCATGATGACCCAGACTATCGCATCGTGGCTACAGACGACCTTGGCAAAGCCTTGAGTGACGGGTCTATAGTTCTGAAATCAAATGAGACGCCGGAAGTGGTCAGAGTGGTATGTTCTTTCCCCTATTCGCGCACGTGCGAAATTGAACGTTACTATAATATATATAT